TGTGAGCACTCACGCTGCCGCGTGGAGCGATGCATCGCCCCCTTACGCACACTTGCAGCGGGCAGTTAGGACGATACCCTATACTTTTGCGCTAACCAAAATTAGTTGCATTTGTTCTATAGTAGGTATGCAGCACCACGTTTTGCTTTGGATGTTTTGGCTTGTGCAAGTTGATCAGAGGAAATTTTATAAAACTCTGTGTTATAACAAGAGAGTGGAGGGTTGATAATGGGGAGAGACCCACCCTAAATGAACCCCTATAGAAGTATTTCACATGATATGTTTTATCGTTATTTCTATTCTTTGCAGCTGATGATCACATTCAGATCAAGTTCCAGCGGGAGACCAAGTGCAGAGACGCGACCGTCTCACGTCACCATTGACATGAGCTGCGGCCTCTCTGGCCTACACTGGGACAGTCTGCTTATTATATACCACACTGGGTGGATACATACGTACATATGTACCTGTAATCTCTGGTCTTACCTGTCTTGTTCACTTCTCTATACTTAGAAATGATGAGAACCTGTGTACTTATGAGTTCTTGTGGAGCACACCTTACGCCTGCCACGTGGAGGACACGTGAGTTTGCAGGCGTCTTATTTCCTTGTTTATCCTATACATGGACGATGTAGGTCAGTCTGTATTTCCACAGCTTCTGCAGGATGCATGATGTAATAATAGTAATAGAGTTGTAGTCTAAGTTATGGACTATATTTCCCATGTGTTCTGTAGGATTCAGAAATGGACAAAGTGTGAAGATCAGCTGAAGTCAAATGAATATGATGGACTCGTTTTTCTACCAAACAAACTAAAGAGCTCTGACGGGTGTGTAATGTACATTATATGTTAATACAAAGTGTTGGGATGGTGGATCTGGACAATGGAGTAATGGACCATGCATCCGAGAAATGTTGCCGATTATGATGTGTAATGAATGGTTACCATTACAGGATTGGGCAAGCAGGGTTGTCTTAATGCGAGTGGTGTTCAAGGCAAAGTACCTGCAACTGTATACCTGTAGGAAACTATTTAGTCCCGGGTGGGATACACACATAGATATAACTTTCCAACCTCAATGAATGGTGATCTGTTGTTATCTGTGTGTGTGTCTGTGTCCCCAGGATGTTGGTAGTGGAGGGAGACTCAGCTCAGAGGACGTTCCACGTCAGTCTGTGTGGCGGCAACTCCCACTGTCCTCACGGCTCCTCCGTCTGCTACACCGACAGCTCCGGACTCACCACCAATGTCGCTACCTCCTCTCTCCAGACCATCATGACTCAAGGTATGTAAGACACATCGAACTGTCTCCCTCTAAACCAATCACAGCTTCGACTTGTTTCTTCATTTATATATGACTAAGTTTTAAGTCACAAAATATGTTTACTCAATGCATAGAGTATGCCATAAAAAGAACAGGTTATGATCATGGCTAAGAATAATGGAAAATGCTGATCAACAGATTTTGCGACTCAAAACTTAGTCTTTAATCCGAATATTCATGTATATACACTTTTTGTAAACTAAACAGCTCATGTACAGGTCATTGTTGTTTAGCACACAGGGAAAGATAAAGCATTTGCTACTTAAAATGTGCATGCACTAGGTTTACTCAATACATTGAGTACACCATAAGAAGAACAATGGCAAAGAATAATAGGACTCGGGACTCAAAACTTAGTATAAATCCGAATCTACACTTTTTGTAAACTAAACCATGTACAGGTCATTGTCGTTTAGCACACAGGGAAAGACAACCTTAAAATTTGCATGCGCTAGGCCAAGGGTGATGTAGAATCTTAGTTTGGCAAGCAAAGTTTTGAAGTTAGGTGCCAACGCGACACTGTAGCTCTAACCCACCATGACTGTGTATAGGAACGTCGATGTGGATTCAGATGAACTCAACTGACGGTTTCTCTCACGCTATTGTCAATGTGGAGTGTGTGGACGACAGTGCTGACGTCAGCAGAGCTGAAACTGTGAGCAACTGTTTCTTAGCAGTGAAACAAGGTTTGAGAGTGAATGTCTCCACAGATGGAGTTTGTGAAAGTCACTACGTCGACCGCTGGCAGTGAGAGGCACACATTCTATCACTTCAACATGTGGACCAAGAAAGGCTGCTCCTTGTAAGAACACTGCAATTAGCAACAACCGGTCTCATGTGTGCGTTTGTCTGTGTGGATCTTAGGCATTACTACGTAGACATGGATTTACACAAAATACTAATGAGTTCTGGCAAATACTGGGAAACATACATACATGGGTGGACCCTAAATGCTAGTATTGTATGTGGAATTGGCTAACTGTGTTACTGTAGGCCATGTGCATCTTGCCAGTGCTAGTAAGTAAGATATTGAGTTACAAGTTCTCTGTTAAGTGCATGCGTATAAGAGCTGGCAAGGATAACTTTCTTCACCGGGTTACCACAGAGTAATTAATCCTCTCTCCCCATCTCATGCCTGGTAGATTCAAAGAATGGTTCAATAATGTTTCTCTGCAGCTCTACACCAACCACAGCACCGTACACTCCCACCAATCATCACAAGAGTACAGATAATGGCGGAGACCACAGTGGTGGCAGTGGTTCGTCTGGCTCTGGTGGTACCTCATCGACCGTTGTGGCTCTGTTGGTCACACTAGTGGTACTGATGGTAGCCGCCATCTTTCTTGGCTTTATCTTCTACAAGAAAGAGAGACGGTAAGCTAAGAAGGAGCACCCCACAGTCTGTAGCTCATTAGATTGTGTTCCTTGTAGGGATAGATTTATTAACTTGTTCAAGAACAAGTCATCTGAACCGGTCAAGTATGAAAAGGTTAGTAACAATAGTGTGCAGTGTACATAAGATGTGCCTCTCTAAAAAAAACTGGGATCTGGAGAAGAAGTTGGGATTAAGACTGAAGAGTCTGTGGTGGATTGTTTGTCCTTTTCTCCCCACGAAATTGGCAGAGACAAATGGCCATTAACCACAAGTTTACCTATGCTGTTGATACAACTACACAAAACCTAACTCAAAATCCAGACCTAACTCAAACTCTGTGATTTGAAGCTTTCCCAAATTATTACTGGGGCCATCTTAATTTCCCAAGACTATCTTAACTTGCCAAAACCTCACTCAGCTGAGTTTGTAGCTAGCCACCCAGTGTTTCTGCTCTATACTGTGCAGTTACCAATGACTCTTACCGAGGAGACATCTCTACTGGAGGAGGGTAGTAGTGGGAGTGAACATGGGGAGGGGAGTGGGGAGGAAGAGGGGGAAGGGGGAGGAGGGGAGGGAGGGAAGAGAAGACCCCGTGACCAAGACGAAGAACTCCTTAATTTATAGTGGTACTTAGTGTCTCACAACTGTACACATCCTTCACTGCCATTGTTTTAACTATCCTTGATCCAGTATTGCTTTTTGCTGGAACAATTCAGCACAATTTGCCAAGTCAGCAACAACACGTTGGCTAGTGTATGTCCGCTGTTGTATTGTGGTACTTTGATGACTAGCTACGCTTGATTATGTCAACAACCAAGATATTCTGGTAATAAACAGACACACGTAATATCAGTTAAGGTTAGAGTACAATGTTTCTATTGCTGCTTTAAGTTTCCTTTTCCCAGTTCTCAATAGAGTGGCTCCTAATGCACGAATCTCCAAGTATCGTTTGTAATCTCCTTTTGGAACCTTCTTTCCCTCCACCCCTTCCTCTTGTTCCCGGTTGTCGTAGGGAGCTTCCTCCAACATCTGTCCTGGAACCTACTGACTACTTCATCTACTTCCTCTTTTGCTGTGGAAGTCTCAGGATGCTGTATATAGGAAATATGGATAATGTGTTTCCTACAGTCCAATGCATGTGTGGATACAGTGAATCCAATGCATGTTTGGCAAACGTGAAAGCCAAAGCTGAAGTAAACTTTAATTTTGTAGCCTCATTCCGAGGCCTCCCATGATACGTGTATGTTTATGCGACGTGACTTTTGCACTGTCCTGTGTGTGCCATGCGTCGCGTAAACGTACACATAGTGCAGAAGGCCAGGGAAAGACGTTAGGTGCCCTGGTAGCTTAGTTGGTAGAGTGCTTGCCTAGAGAGCAGAGTGTCGCGGGTTCGAGTCCCACCTAGGGCAGCTCTTCCTTTTTCCAGGAAAAAGAGTTGTCCTGGGTGTAGTTGACTTGTTTGCTTTGCCTTTGCCATTCTATCTCACCTTGTTGTTGTCACATGCAATGTGCATCATCCACTGTGATACTTGCAACACTTTGAGACATGGGTATGTATGGCAGGATAGAGAAGCTACATGTCTTACCTCCACATCAGTGGTGCTATCTGGCTGCCCCCAGTGGTTTAGTTCATTGCAGACATCAGGAAACTCATTAGCAGATGCAACACCCAATGCTGTCACACCCGCCTACAGTGGTGACGGATAGAAGGAATGCAACGTGTTATTGGCAAGTGAAGTGAGCAGTTCAATTTTTCGTGTGTTTTACACGTAATCACGTGTAACATTACAGTGCTCAATGTCACATAATTAAATATTCAGCATTCAGACGACTAGGCAGGCTCGTTTCGATCGCCAGTATTAGCTCACTGAATTCCTGATCAGTGGGTCAGCTCCATGTTCCATGAGGACCTTCACTGTGTCCAGATGACCTCCCTTGCAGGCAAACATCAGAGCTGTGTATCCAGTATTCTATGGAGGGACAGATGTACAATTGAACCCTCAGTATATCAGTGATACGTCAGCACAGCACTGCACAAGCTATCACAATGGGTACAATTGCCTTCTTTAACTGCTGTGATACTCAACTGATTGCTGGAGGTTGGGATTAGCTTGAGAGTCAAGTAGCAGTTTTGCCATCTCTGAGTCTCCTTGTTCACAACACATCATCAGAGGAGAGAGTCCTCCCTGCACACAAACCACATAATATACAAACAACCGCCTACCAGGTCAAAGTTCACAATTGTGCTTTTTTTGACGTTCCTAAAAGTGTGTAAATTTACAACATTTTGTGACCGAAAGGGTTAAAGCACATATGTAAAGCTGTGGTGAGCGGAGCTACTGTATATACCATGGGCATCTTCGGGTAAAAAGAAAGACATTTG